ATATGAATTAAGTAAATATTGATAAATTTACTAGTAATTTAATTATAAGACAAAGATTATTTATTACTTCATATAATAAAAATTATTGAATATTAAATCTTTTTTAATTTTTAAAATAAATTACTTATATATTTAAATAAATGTATTGAAAGTAATTGTAGCTCTTTGTCAAAAGTTATGAGTTTCTATTGTGAAATAGATGATGTTACTGAATTTGAAAAAAATTGGTTTGATTCTATTTTCAGTGATATCTAATGGTATTTCAGTTATCAAGATTGATTGATCAGTAATATACTAATATTATTTCTGTATAATAAAGAATAGAATGTGATTTTGTCTAAATTTTAAATATGCATTTTGTAGACATAATCTCATTCTTTTTGATAAAAAACAACTTTGAGAATGTTTTATGATAGTTTAGAAGGCAGTTTACTATGAGTTATAATAGAAAAGATTTTGTACTTAGTGAATAAGAACTATAAGACTAACGAACTTTTATTAGTTAAACATTTAAGTATTTTTTCTAATGAGAAATAGATAAAAATTTGATTATAGTAAGAATAAAACAATCAAACATAATGTTTGCTGATAAAATATTTTCAAAAGTATTAAAAAAGCTATCAATATTTATTTTAGAGTTGTTTGTCTTAAGAGAATTTGAAATATCATTTTTTTCTTTTCCTTTATTTTCAATAAGAAGAGTAATTTTAAAAGATAAGTCAATTTTTATAATAATAATAGGAATTATAGAAGTTGTAGTAATACTTGAAGCAGTTTTTTGATCATTATTTTGAAGAGCATTTTGTTTTTTTGTTAGAGGTTTATTAAAAACTGATGATATAGAATAGCTGCAATTGATATTTTTATTTTGTTTAGATTTTACCATTGTAGACAAGTAGAAAGAGTTTTTTTATCTTTTGTCTCTCAACTATTTGATTTCTTATTTTACTAAGATTTTTTTTATTTTCAGTAATTGATATCAGAAATTCATATAGCGAATTTTTTGTATTTAAGATTACAAAGTAAGCCTCTGCAAATAATCTTAAAATCCTCAAGGTCATTTTTAGACTTAAAATTCTAATTAAAATCCGCTCATAATACTAGTTTAAGATTTGCTATCTAGGATAGCTAATCTCTAAAGATTCTAGAATCTTAGAACTACTGTCAAAATTAGATAAAAGAATCACTTTCAGCTATAGATACTTATGTCATTTTTTTTCTATACTTACTAATAACAATTAGAATTACCATTATCTCTGCCTAATATTAGAGTATATCATATATAACTAAAAAGGCTTAGATGTTATTATTCTTATAAAATCTTAAAAGGTAAATATCTGTCATATCCATATTATCAAATTCACCTAGGAATTAAATTTGATCTCTATTCTAAATGATAACTTAATTGAATAATATTATAATAATGCAATATAGTCTATTATTATCATAGCCATATAAGATACTTAGACCTTGATATAGTACTTAATTTACTAATATCTCATTAATTATTCTTTACTTATATAAGAGTTCCTGAATTTTAAGAAGTAAAATAATATTCATTAAAGATCTATCAGAGAAGATTAAATTTTTATTAATCTTTAATTTTATTTATATTTATATATTCTTTAAATCTAGGTTTTAAGCATAATTAATACAGATTGATAAATTAATTTATGAGTTATAAATACATATTAGTATATATGACTAATGTATTCAATTATATATAAAATTTATAAGAAAATTATCTAGTTTTATGTCTTAACTGAGACTTGAATTTGTGGTTATTGCAGTATAATCTACAATAGAAACTCAGTTATTTCTAACTTAACTAGACATACTGATCTCTACTTCTTATTTACTAAGATCTTTTAAAGTACAATAGTTTAAAATATCTTTATTATGATTAATATAAGTTTTCTTATTTTACTAAGATAATTTCTACCTCTATTTATATAAATTAATGTTAATCAATTTATAGATTTTTTCTTTAATTTCTTCTCTTTAATTTTAATTTTTAATTAATTATAATTCCTAATTCCTATTTCTTTTTCTTAATTTTAATTCCTATTCTTTCTTTTATTTTTAATTTTATTTACTAATTATTACTATTATTATATTATAATTTATTATTATTTTTCATTATTACACTATTCCTTCTTTTTATTTCTAATATTTTATCATATTTTATTTACTATCAATTCTCAATTATAAATCTATTTTCCTATCAAATTTTTCTATTTCTAATTTTATTTATTTCTATTTCTTATTTCTTTTTTATATTTTTTTTTTATTTACCATTTCTAGGATTATTACATATTCTTTTATATATGTTATTATAAGTTTTTATGGTATCATTATTTTCTATTTTTAAATATTCCTTCACTATTTTTAATTTTATTTTCCTTCATTCCTTCAATTTTTATTATAATTCCCTCTTTTCTTTTGTATTCAAGTATATTTTTATTCTTTTTTTAATATTTTACTAATTTCTTTTTTGATAATATAGATTATACAAGCATTCTATTGACTTAGTTTATTAGTTTTTTTATTTAAATCTTTATATAATATTTATGCATATTTATAGATTTTCTTCTTTTCTTTTTTCTAAATCTAAGAGTCCTTTAGTTATTTTTTTTTTTTAATAACTTTAATTTTTATGCTTCTAAGTCTTGTGATTTAATTTATAATACATTTTAGTTATTATACTTTCTTCTAGCTATTTATAATATTTAGTTATCATATCACTTCCTGATTATTTTATAATATTTAAGTTATTATATCATACTTTAATTATTATATTATGATCTAATTATTTTACCTTTTCTATAATATCATATGATTTATATTACTATTAGGTTATATCATATTCCATATGATGTATTTTTTAAATAATAGTATCAGATGATTGGTATTTTATTACATTATTTTAGTTAATTATTCTTTTAATATTATATAATTTCTGGCTAATAGTTTTTCTTCATAATTTATTTGATTGATTATTTCTTAATTTTTAATTATTATAACTTCTCTAATTTATCTATTTTATTATAAAGAATTATATGATATATTATTTTGAGATTTCTTGACTATACAATATTATTAAAAACTTATTTTCTGCTAAGATGATAATATAGGATATTTATATGAAATACAGATATAAGAAGAGATATTTAATAAAATAAAGATAATAATTATAATTATAATAATAAATAAAATAAATAAAATAATGAATAGATGATAAAATAATTATATTAAATATAACTTTGTTAATTGTAATAGCAATAAAAATAGTAAAATATAATTTTAGTTAGTACAGTCTTTTAATGATATATATGGATTATCATTAACAATAGAAGAAGATAAGTAAACCTTTAAACATAATTAAAATAAAAGTAATACTAAAATTAAAACTATAAGCTAATGGAAATAATTATTTTAATAATAAAAATAATACTACATTTAATATTTTTATAACTACAGTAAGAATAATTTTTGATTTTACTATAATAATTGAATATTAGATATTTTAAAAAACTTAAATTTTAGAAAATGACTGTAATATTGAATTTTAGTTTTTTACTCTTTAAAACTTGATTTCAGTTCATTATTTTTGATTTTATTATTATTTTTTAGGAAATTTTATTTTTTATGAAACTGAAAATTTTATAAATTATATGACAAATTTTTTGGATTTACAATTTTATACAATTATTTAAATTTTTATTAATAAAAAATAAAAATGTATATATATATAAATTTTTATCATTTTAATATAACTAATGTGTATTTATTTTATTTATTCAATTTTCAAGTTTATAATTTTGTTAAGAAAAATGAAAAAAAATGAAAATAAACAAAAAAAATAAATCAAACACTTTCATTATAACTATATAGCTGATGTAAAATAATTAGGTAGTAGATAACTGATTAAAATAAAAAAGATATTAACACATGATCTTATAAGTATATAAAAATTATATGCTGATAGTAGTAAAGTTATTATATTAGAGATTTTAATAAAGTTTCTTAACCTTTTATTCTAAGTTTTAACTTTACTTTTGAGTTATTACTATTGTCTCTATTTTTTAAAAGAATAATTTTCTATTTTATTTATATAAAATTACAATTATAAAAAGATCATTAACTAATAATATTTAATATAAAATAATTTATAATGCTAAGATAAATAAATAATATAAAAGTTATAAAATATAATTTATTTATAATAAAAAATAATAAATAATAAAATAATATAAATAATTTATTAGATAATATAAGTAAAATAAAATATTAAATATAAGAAGTTAAAAATATTAATAACATTAATTTTTATTAATATTTATAATGTAATAGGATTGACTTTATCAGATAAAATCTAAATTATATAAAAATATTTGATTAATAAAGTGAAAGAACTAAAGTTTTGCATTTAAAATATAATAATATCTAACTTATATTAATTCTGACTAAGATAAGCTTACAATTACTCACTTTTTTAAGTTGACTCAGCTTTTTTATATACTAATTGATTTATTATTTGAATAATTTTAGAATTAACTTTTATAATTTAATTTAAAATTATTTTTTATGACTTCTGAGTTAATTTTCATAAATTCAAGTTTTTTCTTACATCTTTTAGTAATTTTGATTAAGGTTACCAGATATAATTCAGAGGTTTTAACAGGTATCAAAATCAAAACCTGTCAAAATGTATTATCAAACATTTTATTAAAAGCAAAATTGCAAAAGTTTTGATAAGTGGCAAAATTTTGATGAATGACAAAACTTATCTAAACTTTCTGATATTAAAATAAAAAAATTTATTATTTTTATTTTGCAAGATGAGCAAATCATATATAATAAAGCTCACCTTTTCTATATATCATATATTTATATATAAAAAAAAATCAAATAATTTACATATGAAATTGAATCATTTATTTATTAATTATTATTTTCTTCAATTAAACTTATGAAAGCATCCATATCTTTTTCATTCATTAAACTTCATTGGAAAAATCATCATCTTCTTCATAAGGTAATTCTTCTAATTTTTTAACAAGTTCCTGTACTTCCAAATTTAAATCTTGCTCAATAAATAATCGATTATTTGGAAACTTTGTTCTAATTTAAAACAATAACAAAAAAAAATCATTTTTATATTCTATATTGTGATACAATAAACCCGTCAGAACTTTTGAAATCCATTGAAATCTGTCGAAATTTTCGAGACTCATCAAACCAATCAAAGCTATCAAAACCATCGAAATCTATCGAAAACTGTCAAAATAATTTCTGAAAAGTTTCAACAATTGTCAAAATGGGTTTAGAGTTTGCCTTGCAACTATAATTCTGATAGAGGTAATACGCTTGAACTGTCAGAACTACCTGAAATGTTCTAAAAATGATTATTGTAAAAATAGCGTATATAAAATAAATACTTTGCATAATATCTATTATATAGCATTTCTCAAAAGCATTTGATGCAGATTACATAGAATATGTGAAATATTATAATTCTCAATCAAGTAATTTGCAAACGCTTGCATATAATGAGAATAATAAATCTATTTTCACAACTCTTAAAATTTTACTAAAGAAATGATACTAAATGACGATAAATAATATACTTTAGAATTTTTGTTTTATTATAAAATAAAATAAGAAAGGCGAGTATCACTGACAATATTATTCACCTTTTGTCAAAGTGAATTAGGAAATATTATTGCTTAGAAATATTTAAAACTTTTGATTTCACGTTATATTTTATTTGTAGAACATAGCTGATAACTTAGATAATAATATAGATACTTCAAATGCCTAACAATTATATGCGACAATTGACCACGGTATTATGCGACAAGAGATCATTGAAACAAAAATTTAATGGTGCAAACCACAAAGGAGCTTTATATTTATAAACTATTGTTTATATGAATTATTACCTCATTACAACGCCACTTAAAAAAATATTTCTTACACGGATACCTCATTCCGATGCAACTTACAAATGCATTTTAAGAAGTACTTTATATCTCAATTTCCAATTTGCCCATTTTAAATTGGGACAATGGTCAACTTGGGTTCTCAATTTTCAATTTGCCCGTATTTTAAATTGGGGGCGATGGTCAACTTGGGGCACCGCATGTTCAATTTCCAATTTGTTTCAATTTTAAATTGGGACAATAGATAACCAATTTGGGGCCATCGCATTTCTCAAATTCTAATTTGCTCCAATTTTAAGGGCGGCAAAATCGCCGAAATTGAAATTTGAAACTGGGGCAGATCCTTAATATCTCAGAACTGACAGTTGCATTATGTTGAATAATTTGATTAACTGGGCCTCATGAATTTAACTTTCATTATACTGGGCGATTAGAATAAAAATATAATGGTAAGACATTAAAATCATCTATAATTGACGCATTCATACTTGGCTTTCCATCTAATCATTGTCGAGATTTCTATACAAAGATTAATTAATAAAAAAAAAATCTAATAAATAATCCCGAAAATAAATAAAATAAAAATTTTAAAAAAAATTCGAAAACAAAAAAGTACGAAAATTAAAAATTCAAAGTTGAAATTTTAAATTAAATAAATTCAAAATCATTTAAAACAAAACTGTAGTGTCATCAGTAAAATTCTCGTCAAGATAATTCTTCTAATTGCTTGCGAGTTGTTTCACAGACTATTTTCTTTGTGTCGGTTTCATGGTCGTAATCATAGTTAGTTTTAGGATTAGAACTTAGATGTTAATTTATTGGTTACGAGATAGGATCAGTAATTAGGATTAGAGTTAGGATTGAGTTTAGCTTGAATTAAAGATAAGTTAGGTTGTTGATCAATAAAAATAATATTGATTACTCTTTATCCCCTTTTAAATTTTATTTATAAATTTCTTTTGAAAATACAAATACTTATCATTATTAAACCTTTTATTTAATAAATTTTGCGTTAGCGAACCTTGGGGAAAGCTGTAAGTAATTATAAATAACGGATAATTTATTGTAATATAGTTATTATTTTGAAATGACCGAGAAACACTTTTTTTCAGAATCGAATGTGCAAAATAGGTTGCTTACTATAATTTTGTGGAAAAATCTCCATTGCGAATTATAATTAGTCTAATTCTTGTCATAATAATTATTTTTATTCGCATAAATTATGTACCAAGTACGATAAATATTTTACAGTATAAAATGTTAAATAAAGAAACGTTATTATCTACTAATACTTCCTCAAAGTTTCGAATCAGCAATTAATTCAATACGCCACTAAAACAAAGCATTATGATAAATCATTTCGAGTATAAATGGACATATAACTGTAAAGTAAATACCTTATTATTTTCGTCATTTCCATTTCCATAACAAGAAACTTCTTGGGTTCCATCTTCCAATAATTTGGGATGACTATAAAGTGATCCATCAGTAGTTACATGAATTAGGCTGATTATTTCACCATTCGAAAAATAACCCGAGTCATCTTTAGAACCATAACGTCGAATGACCCAGTCATCGTTCTTATCTCTACCATAACAGATGGTCACTAAATATTATAATTTTTATAAACTTTAATTTGCAAGATGATTATTGTTAAAATATTCATGCCTCAAATATACCTTGCTGATGCTTCGAATCCGGTATGTTTATAGGATGAGAATGTAAAGTCACCTCCTCTGTCGCTTGATGCTTAAATCCAATAGTATAATTAAATGGCACTGGATCACCCGTGTTTACACTCGTACCATAAGCTTCAATAACGATAAAGACGTCATTTTTCAAATCTAATTCCCGACCATTACAAACAGCCTTTGCAAGTTTATAAAAAAAGTTTACAATTTTAAGTTTTTTAAATATAATATTATAAAGAAAAAAATCAAATTCGGAAAATACCATATATTGATTTGTATCTGAATATTTTACTCTTTTAGTAGTCAAATATTTTCTAGTAGGTACATGAACAAGGGCGACCTTCGAGCCATATTTAACTAGTTTATTCTGAAATAATAAAGTCATCGGAGTGAGCTGGATTAAATTTATGTTCATGATGCGAAATTTAAAATAACTTACATCTTCTTTCACTTCTTCGGCCAGTTGAAATAGTGAACATTACTATTTAATAAGAAAGTTGATTAATTTAAAATTTTTTAGATCCAGTTTGAATTTATTGCTATGATAATTCATACCAAATTTCACCATTAAATCCATTGTCGAAAGAACGTCCGATATATAATGGTCCTTCATTGAAAACAACATTTTCCGTTTTTACGTTCTGGATACCATAGAATCCGACCCATTCACCATCTATGTAGATGTCTAATCTCTTTTCAGAATCAGAAAGCGTATATGCTATATGATACCATTTATCCAACAAAAGTCCGTTACCAAAATCATAAATTCCTGCATCGTTAGTCCAGTTGCCGGTGAACCGAGCATGCAATGAAGATTTTTTTGGTACCAACTCGAGTGTAGGAGTACGGACAAACCGTTCGGTACCTAATTGTTTGTTTATTTTATTGAAATCAAGGGAACAAGATACTAATAAATGAAAGAATTGGAATTTCTTACCTTTGTGAAAAATAATAGCCCAACTGGAAGCATGACTATGAAGTTTTAGTCGTAATGTCACTGATAATTCATCGTTCACCGTGGGTAAGTCAGCATGTTCAAAGACCAGTTGTGACCGTTCATCTAAGGTAATAGGGCCTGAAATAAGCTCAGCCCACTCTTTAACGATAAATTTTCTCATTTTCTAAAATAGGTGAATGGCACTTAATTTCACCATTAAATCAAAAGTAGCAAATGCTTAAGAAAAAAGTAGTTTTGCATACCTAAAGAAATTGTAGTAAAAGTTATGCTATGTAGTAAAACAGCCTTAATATATACGACAACCAAAAACAAAAATGGATTTAATACTCCTGATAGAATCGCCATCATGACTATTAAAGTTAATAGGATATACAAAATCACGACAATTTTTGCTATTCAAGTTTGGTTAGTTTTAAAAATTATTATTTTTGGTTAGACTTTGTAGATCAATTTGGCTGGCCAATTTCAAAAAAAAAACATATCTTGTGGTAATAACTTATTTACGTTATTTAGGCTATTTTAAGCTATCATTAAGAAAGTCAATTTGAAAATAAAATTATAAACCTTCTGCTTACCTTACATTCGTTTATAACTTAAAAGAATTGCGCATGTCCCAAATGATCATTTCATAACCGATCCAAAGATATTTTTGGAATGGAATGTACTTTTCTATCATATTAGGCCATGCAACTTCGATTTTTCGGTTCACGCTACCCGGCCGGGTCACTTTTTCAAATTTTAACAAAAATTAGTTTATATATAAAAGTTTATCATGTGACTATAAAGTGTAATTTTATTGGTAGATTAAAGCTTTATTGTATATCGTTATGTATAATTCCTTTCCAACTCATTAGTTTCAAGCAGCTTCCCAAGCAATACATTGTGCTGAAATTTTTCTCCAACTAAGTTTTTGATGGGCTAAACTTCATTTCAAAATCTGCTTCCCACCAGTCAGGTGATAAATATAGAATCAATATATTTCCAAAAAAAATCTTTTATGTTTGTTTCTTTCTAAACCTTCCCAATCCTTTAGAACTTTAGAATTGTAACTTATTTTTACATGTATAATAGGCATTTTGACGGAGGATTTTGAAATGAAATGTGATTGTCGTAATATTAGGCCTGAAAATTTTTAAATTTTTAAATAAAATTTTAAAATTGACACGGCTCACCCGATTTTATTATGTAAGGTCACATGATAAAAATTTTACAATAAAAAAAAAATCCTGAATTTTCGTAAACTGACACGGTCGGGTCACAGAATCCGAAAATTTAATTTGCACGGCCTTATTAATAAAAAATATTCATTAATAAACTATGGGTCTCCGAGTCGATTTTAAATTTCAATGTTACGTGAACCGATAAATCGAAGTTGCATGGCCTTAGACGTAATATGTGTAAATTCCTCGTAAAATACAAATTGAACATTTTTTGAGAAAAACATTCCATTAATAATTTGATGGATGCTGTCTTAAAGGTAAAGGAAATGCATACCTAAAAGGTAAAAGCAAATCAAAAACTTAAATATATATATAAAAATTATTTTTCATAAGAAACATCAATGTTGGAATATTAAATAAACAAATAAAAACTATAAATTATCATATTTGGCTCAAATTATATTGTTTTATGGGTCGGATTTAAAATCGGTCGGTCAAACGTTCGGTTGGTCAAAAGACCTTTCGTTGACCGGTTGATTGACCGACAATAACCGACCGTTACCATCCCTATTCACAATTATTGGTGCCGCCGTGAGCTTTAATAGCTTTACATATTACATTGAATTATTTTATTGGATAATAGTCAATGTAAAACTTTCAAGTGGCTTCTTAATCACGTTACGAATCATATGATAAACTATGTTCGTAACTCGATTTTAATAGCAAACCTCCCAAATGTTTCTGATTGAAATATGTTTGTTGCGTGTTATCTTTTTGAAAAATAAACCAATACTATTTAAATCTTTGCAGACATTTACAATCGCAAAATAAAATTTCGGTTTATTGCGTAACTATTTGTTTTAAAGTATATTACCATTAAACATCCATCGTGCTCTTGTATAATCGTTATATTTCTTATAACAACATTTTACAATGAAATAATATCAAAGTAAAAGTTGTTAAATCAATAAGAGATTCAAACATATTCTCTGTGAAGAAATGTTTAATATTATAACATGATTTGTAACATCCCAAAATTGTATTTGTGTGTGCAATTTTATCAATTTTATCACAAAACCAAAATGTTTATATTTCTATTTATTCTATAAAATAATGATTTTACTTATTTGAAAATCTTTATTGCTAAATCATTCGACCTGCATTATTTCTAATAAACTAATTAGAGTTTCTGGAATAAAGGATAACTTGCGTTACAATAACCTTGGAGTTATAATAAAAAAAAAATTCATTGGAGTTATGCAAATAACTCAATAAGGCTCTAAGAATTTTCTATTTATTAAAAAATAAAAAATAAACTTGTTACATTATTTTGCTGTATACTAAAATTAGAATTACATGTTCATTAAATTATGTCGCGAAATTTTGTTTGTTTATTTAATTATATAATAATAATGAATCTATTGCTGCATTTTTGGTACGAAAAAATCTCTATGTTGAGTAAAATAAAAATTTTTTTTCTTTGGGAAACTTTTATTTTCCGTCCTATTTTTATAATAATGTTTGAAGGTAATAATCAAGTTAAAATTTTATAATAAATATATTTTTTATTGATACAAAACTAGAAATAAATCTATCCGGGTACAAGAAGCTATGCTGAATTTTTTTTTTTATGGTATTTCATAGGTAAAGTCATTCCCATTAATTATTACTAAGATTAAATCATTGATAGAAATCTAAA